TTAATACTTTAATTTTCCTTGACATAAAATTAAAACATTGAAAAATAAATTTCAAATATTAASTTAAAATTATCTTTGTCTAAACTAATGTATTAGTTTTATAGCTAACAACATTTGGTTTCACATTTCAGCAAGCAGACTTGGGTAAATTACTTTTTAAAAGTATTTAGAATATGTATTTGAATACTTTATGATAATAATATTCCAAAGCATTTGGAATACTTCACAAAAAGTATTCTTAATATTTTTCGAATACTTTTCATTAGTAACAAAAATATTTTTATTTTTTTCAATTCAGGGATTATACATGAAAATTATAATAACCTGGAGAAGGGGGTTTATACATATAAAAAAATTAATCAACGGGGGGGGGATAGCTATTTAATCTTTATTTATTTTTAGCTATTTAACAGAGGTTAACCCGCCTGGTTGTGCCACTGTTCAAATTAATATAAAAAAAATAAATTAATCTTATCGACTTCGCTATCTTGTTGCTATAAAATTGAAAAATATTAAATAACTTACTGTTCAAATGAAAATAGCAGAAAACAAAATAATATATTGCTATGAAATATTTTGTATAAAAATATACATAAATACAAGTACAACAGCAATTTCTTTGACGGAAAAAGAATGAAATTATTTTTAAAATCTGATTGGACGTTAAAAAAATATTCTGAATACTGTATTCAGAAAACTTGTAAAAAGTATTTGAAATACCGTATTAAATACATAAAAAAAAGTATATAAAAAGTATTCGGTATACTACCTACCCAAGACTGTCAGCTAGACACAATTAAGTTTTGTACTATTCTTGTTACAATTATAAATAAATAACAATTAATTACAATAAAACGCAGTTAATTAAAAGAGTTATTATAAATATATAAATTACTTACTTTAGTAATAGTATTAAATGTTACATTAACATCTTTTTGATCAATTGTAAACGGTAAAAAAATATCCAGCTCATATTTTGTTTGTTTGTTTGTAGTTAACAGTAAACAGTCTTCACCACATTTTAAATCAATTTCTTGTGAACTTTGCTGTAGAAAAAAATAAAAATAGTTAGCTAAACACATAATGTTTGTTGTTATTAATGTAAGTTATTATAAAATTACCACATCTGGCATCCAAACATCTAAAATTATATTTTTTGGATTATCTTCTGGTTGCACATAAATCCTATACTCAGGTTTAACATGAATGTCTAACTGAGAAAGTGATGATTTTGAATTTAATTCTTGAATCAGAGGTTTTTTTTTAAACGATGATGGTCTAGGAGGTCGTTGTTGAA